ATCTATTCGAAAAGCATTTGTAAGAAGAAGTCACCTTGTCTCGATATTCTTCGACATTGAGAAAGCTTATGATAAGGCATGGAGATACGGTATACTTCGGGATCTTCACGAGAGTGGCTTGCGCGGCAACCTACCAATTTTCATTCAGAATTTCTTGAACACTAGAACTTTTCAAGTAAGGAATTGGCTCTGTTTTTTCAGGATGTTTTTGAACAGGAAGAGGGTGTGCCTCAAGGCTGTGTGCTTAGTGTAACCCTGTTTCAGTTTAAAAATAAACTTCTGTACTAAAAGAACTTCCTCCCACCATCTTGGGATCTCTATATGTTGATGATCTGCAGATTAGCTGTCGAGGGCAGACATGAGATACATAGAGAGGCAATTGCAGATGGCTCTGAATAAGATCCAAGAATGGTCAGACAAAAACAGGGATTTACATTTTCGAAACAGAAAAACTGTGTGCGTGCACTTTTGTAGGAAGCGAGGTCTCCATCCTGAACCTGAGTTATATCTGAATGGTACAATTATTCCAGTTGCGCCCGAAGTAAAATTTTTAGGAGTGACGTTCGACCGAAAATTGACTTTCCTTTCTCATGTTTTAAACCTGAGAAAGAAGTGTTTAAAAACACTAAATATTTTAAAAGTGTTGGCGAACACCTCCTGGGGTGCAGAGCGTTGCTCTATGCTTCGCATTTACAGAGCGCTTGTCCGCTCTAAACTGGACTATGGCTCAGTTGTTTACGGATCCGCTCGGTCATCTGTTTGTTAAAACTGGATCCTGTTCACCATCAAGCTCTGCGGATTTGTTCAGGAGCTTTCAGGACTTCTCCTGTCCAGAGCCTGTATGTTGACTCTAATGAACCATCACTTTATCTGAGGCGTGAGCAATTGTCCCTTTTGCAATATTTTAATATTCTATCCCAACCTGAACATCCCAATAAGCTGTGCTTACTTGATAATGTGTGTAACACTTATTTGAAACACGTCCATCCTGTGTTCCTACCTTTCCTTTAAGAGTTCGCCCTGTCATTGAGGAACTTTCCCTCTCTGATATGCGCCCCCAAGCAGTACAGAATTTTGAAATTCCCACCTTGGGAAAATTCACGGATTCAGCTTCTTGATGTTTTCAAACATCACGTGAAGGCAAGCACTAACGAGATCGTTTACAGACAACTCTTCGCTGAGCACAGGCACAAATATAGCAGTTATTATCCGATATACACAGATGGATCAAAGTCAAATGATCATGTCGGGATGGCTTTTGTATTTGAAAATTACATAGAGGGCAGATGCCTGCACCATGCTTTCTCAGTCCTAACATCTGAACTAACTGCAATATATTATAGTCTTTTGTACATCTCAAAGCTCTGCCACAAAAAGTTCATAGTTTACAGACTCGTATAGTGCTCTTAAATCCTTGGAAGCTTTTCCCAACACTCAGAATCCTGTGGTAGTGGATGTTCTCAAAATTCATATAAATTTAACGATTCGAGGATATGAAGTCCTGTACTGCTGGGTTCCCGGGCATGCTGGAATAAAGGGAAATGAGCTTGCAGATATCGCAGCCAAAATCTGCTGTTGAACTGTCCAGTCGCCTTATCCCTTTTAGAGACATCTGCTGTGTCATCAAGGGAAAGATCCGAAAAAAATGGCAGCAAATTTGGGATGTTCAGCATCACAACAAGTTGAGAAACGTCAAAGCCTAGAATTGAGCATTGGGATTTTGCTGGAAATCGTAAGGAGGAAGTTCTTTTGACTTGCCTCAGAATTGGTAACACTAGAGTGACACATAATATCTTCTCAAAGCTGAAAATGAGCCTGTTTGTTTTAATTGTAATGTTTGTTTATCTGTTCGTCATATTTTAATTGAGTGTCCATGTTTTAATAGTCTTCGCCAGAAATATTTTAATAGCTGTGACTTACCTCTCGACCGTTTAATCGGAAGAGAGGTCAATTGTAATTTATTTTATTATTTAAAAGAGACTGGCTTTTATTACCAAATGTAATTTGTTTTTGAAGACTGTGTCTTGAATTTTAAATGTGTGCTTTTAACTTGTTTTTATATGACTTCATCCTCTGGATTTGGTACATTTATCTACTTGTTTTTATTTATTGAATTTTAATGTCATCAATTGTAATCATCCCATCTTGTGTTTGGCGCGTTATAATCATCTTGGTTTTTGCGCCATAATCTCACTCATCACTCACTCCTTTCATTAGTATTTGTTAAAAGATTTTCAGTAGGAGTTAAATTTAAAAAAATCCTTGAAAACAAACTTTTTGTTGATACAAACAGTATATATATATATAGTTAAAAAAAAAAAAAAAGCCATCAAAACTAAATCTGAGGGAACTTTTGCAGGTTTGAATGAGGCTTTCATCATTATATCTTTACTAGTTTTCACTTTCTATTCATAAAAGCTTTTTTTTTTTTTTTCTTTTCTGTGGAACAGTCAGTTTTATTTAATCCCGTATTTGTTAAAATAAAAGCATGTATTTTTAGTTTGTATTTTATTTAGACTCTTTTATGTATTGATTTTTTAAAAGTAAATATCACATTCTTTATATATGTATAAAGATTTCCATGGTTTTACAAGCTAATTTTTTTTTAAATTTATACCATCTCCAAAAAAAAAAAAAAAAAAAATGTTTCATAAGTCAAATTTCCCATATCAGAGCCACATATAGGGTATTGTATTTCATAAAGTTATTCATGTAGTATATAATCATGCTTAGTTTCTCTATTTAGGCCAAATTGTGTGTTTTTGTTTTAAAAAGCTCATTACTTATTCACAAATCAAAAATAGGAAATTTGGAATATACTTGACTACCAGTTTGAGTAGGTGATTTTTGCTACTTGTTCCTGATAACCTTTAGGGAAAAAAATTAAAATAAATAAAATAATCCTTATCCCCTTAAAATAGAAATATACTACTTTGTAGGAACACCAAAATTTTAAATATGAGCAGGACATGCTTTTCAAACGAAAAGCTTTATTTATTCATTAGATGCAAGTTGGATCCTTTGCAGCTGGGGAAGAACGAAAGCTTTTTGTTCAAAATGTGCGTCCTGCTCGCGTTTAAAAGGTTAGTGTTCATACAAAGTGGTATACTTTTATTTTACTTAATTTTTGAGTGTTTATTTGTAATTAAATCCGCTTACTTTATAGTGAATACTATATTTAAATGCACATTTTCACAATGTGTTTATTTACTGGGATACAGGAATAAAATAGAATATGTATTGTCATGTTTGAAATTATAATTCAAAAAGAAAATTTTATTTTGTAAATGTACATTTTACAGCTGATGTGCAAAATATGAAATCTTACTAAATTTAATGTATAGCAGCATACAGTTAACGCAGTAGCTTCCAAGTTTGCATGAAATTATTTTCTGGACATTGCTAAGTTTATAAGCACTTTAATATGCAAGTAACTGAATAAAATGGTCATTTACAATCAGTGAAAGATCTTTTTAAAAATAAAAATTTTATTTACTATCATACATTTCCAGAATGCAAGTACTATTGGTAACACTGGAAAGGTCAAAGTAAATGAAATTGTTCCAAAAACTATTTCTGACTTTAAATTATGTTCACTTAAATATAAGAAAGTAAAATATTTTTCTGTAATAAGATTTCACCATAATTTATCTTTTTGTATCATAACTATATTATAAGTTTGGACAGTAGTAGTTTATAGTTCCAGCTGAAAGTCAACAGTCTGTAAGTATATATTTCATCAATTGCATAAATACATATATTACAATGTGATTTTCTGTTTCTCTTTAGGATGCAATGCATTAAAAATAAACGAGATTTTTTTTACCTTCTCAAATATTATAACAGTAGTGCAATTAATTTTTAAACGTTATTCAAAATTAAAGTTTCCATCTCAATGTTTTATTAATTATTTTAGATTTTCTTCCTAAAATTATTTAACCTAAACATCTTAAACAATGGTGCAAATAATTTAAAGCAATTATTAAGAATAGATTAAAATTTAATTTTATTAAATTATTTTAATTTTATTTAAATTTAATTTCTCAATATTTATTTAGATAAAATATTGAGGAAAAAAGTGGTTAAGTTATATCTGAAATTAATTGTAAAAAATCTAATAACTTAATTTGAGGTCGTTGTCTACCGGCTGCCAGCAAATGGAAATAAAAAACACTACCTGCCATATCAAAAGCACGCCAAACTGGCGATGAACAGCCTAAGCTATCACTCCCCAAGAGTGCCAAGACCATAAGTCACATGTTGGAGACAGCCTAGCAGACGAATTCTCTGTGGGTGAGCCGTCTACCTGTTATATGAAGTCGTTGATTCCAGATGGGTGCCTCATGAATTAAAGGGGAATTTTTTTCATATGCATATCTCTCCTTGCTCGAAACAAAAGCAAACTCTTTTTTGGACTGCATGATAAAACTATGGATGTATATGGTGGGATGTCCAACAACCATAATGAGCTTTTGAAACCTAAAGAAAAGTTGAATTCAGACAGATGCTCTCAGCAAATAAATGATTTAAATAAATCAGTCCAAGAAAAGCAGCCAGCAATGTTCAAAAGGAAGCACATCATGATAATGCCAGACCACATGCTGCTTTGGTGAATCATCAGATAGTGCTGAGCTGGGAAATTCTATTGCATCCACCATACTCCCCAGACCTAGCATTTTCCAGTTATCACTTTTTCTGTCTGTGCAAAATTTTTTGAAGGAGGAAAAAATTAAAACTGAAACAGATAAGCACTACTGGAGTTTTTTGCCTCTAAGGACAAGACATTTTAAAAAAAAATAAGGGTTTACTAATTAGCACCATGCTGGCAAGAGGTCATAAGTAATGACAGAAATTATATTGTACTGTAAATATTATCAAAATTAGGGAAAACATATTCTTTTCTTTCGCTTTCTAAACTGACAGAATTTTCTGATAGAACTTATGTATGAACTTATTTATGTAAACATACATCTTTGCAATTAAATTGTCAGCTGTCATCTTTCAATGTTGTTCTTATATTTTACCTTTGACAGGAGTTGGAATTATATGATGAAGAATTAGTCTATAAACCAGCTATATTAGCCGTAAATAAATTGGATACAGACTATGATGGAAATAAATTTCGTAAACTTAAAGATCAGCTTGAAGCCCATTCTAGTAAGTAAACATTTCTGAGTTGAATACTCTTATTTGTTAATAATTAATTAATGGATAGTCATAAATTGCATATGATAATATCCATGACATGTTATAAAAATTAGTGGCTTAACAAGTTATTTAATTGTTGAATATCTAAAATTTGGTATTGTTGAATACATTTTTTAAACTTTGATTCCACTTATGGTGCCGGACAAAATGCTCAAAATATCAAATAATTCAAAACAAATCTAATTCATAATATATCAAAAGATCAATCAAATAAACAATCGTATATCATATCTTATCAATCAATCGTATAGTGGTATTGGTTTAGTACAAGGGCACGTTGTGAAGCCCACTAGGAAAAAATCATTAACCCCAATTCAATAAAACTCCATGTTTCTTAAAAGCCTCCCGGTTCAAACAAATGGAGGGACCTGACAGACCACAGTAAATTACACACAAGATTAAACAAATGAAACATAAAATATATATCAAACACATTTATTAATTTCTTGAATATATTATATTAGTAAATACTTGGGTAACTGATCAGTAATCCTACCACATATTTTGCTATGAAAAGTAACACATAATGTCACACGCAATTACAGCTTACAAAAATTAATATACCTTATTGTAAGTTTACTATTTTTGACATTCAATAGCTGGTAAAACAAATTAGCTGGTAATTTGTTTTACCAGCAAAGATTAAACTGGTAAAACAAATCTTTAAACCTTCATTTACAAACTTTAAATTAACTGGTCATTATTCAAAATATTCTAATCATTTAGTAGTTTACATATATAAAATAAATAATTTTCGTTTAAGTAATTTGAAAAGATACAGAGGTAGACAAATTTAAAAAATCGCTCACAGATGGAAGACGGTTTTTCCGGATTGAAGGATCTTAGTGTCCAATCTACTTGGAAATGAGCTAAAACAATTTCGTTTTCAAAACACTTTCAGAAGCGTCCATTGATTCAGGAACCATTTTAAATATATCCATTAAGTGAGAGACAATTTCCGAACAGAAAGATCTTTAGTGTCCAATCTATTCCACTGGGAAATGAGCTAACACAATTTTTTTTTTTTTTTTTTTTTTTTTTTTTTTTTTTTTTTTCAGTCAAAACACTTTCGGAGGCATCCATTGATCTCAGGAACAAGGGGAGCTTGATACCTCCTTCTGAAGCAAATCTCTATCTCATGACAAATTCCTTCAACTGGAATGTCTTAAACAAACATGGCTATTCAAGTTCTCCAATATACATGATGAAGCGCGAAACTAAATTTTGCGTAGAGCACTTTCGGCACAAACTTCTTAGCTGTAACCAATCTCTTCTGCCTATGACAAATAATTTTAACTGGAAAGCCTCTAACATGGCTATTCAACAATCTCAAAATACACGATGAGACGGTGAAATCAAATTTTGCGTAGAGCACTTTCTCCATTCGAACAAATTCTTACCAGCGGGAAAGCCGTGAGAAACCTCGCCTCAGACCAAGGCGCCAGCCCCCTGCAGGAGGTCGAGCCCAACCGCACTTTTTCTTTTACTGCCTTACATCTTCGCAACTCAAATGTCTCCTAATCCAACGCAATAGCCGCCGCTCGGGAGAGCAAGACCCGCAAGGGGTCAAGCCTCCATTCTTTTCTCCTCTTACTCTTAGCTTGAAAAATCGGAATCAGGAATATCTCTAGCCTGGTGCAAGCACCCGGGAAATCTCAGTCTCTCCGCCTCTGTAAGTTTGTAGGCTTACAAAAAATCATCAAATTAAATCTTACCAATCCCGGAATTTTACTTAATCTAGACTGAGAAAATGACAGACCCATGACCAAACACCAGAAATCTGACAGTGCAGTCCAAAAACATCTGTACACATAACGTGAGAAAAAAAAATGGAGCCCCAACTAACAAGCGGAACTAAGCTTTATGAGAATCCAATTACCTAAACTTTGTACACCCCCCATTGTCTTGAAGTAAGCAAACTTGAAACTATGACAAAGCGAAAGGAAGATGATTTTTGTTTCAAACGCCATGAGTAAAAGATGACAACACAACACCCTACTGCCTCCATTGTTAGTAGAAAGGCCATAAACCAATAAACCAGATGGCTCTTGCAACCGTTTCCTGTCGTTGTTACTACACTTTCAAGAACTACCAGTTAAATAAGGCTTTAACAATTTCAGAATACTTTTTTCTAGATTAAAATATACATGAATACAAATAAAAATATTAGAATAATAATAACTTAAAACACATATTAATAATTAAAATTCGCGACAAAACATAATCATTAATTAATGGACATAAATAAATCTTTAATATTTTAAGTACTAAAATCATGCCTGTATTGTTGAAAATCTCCTTTAAATGTTTTTAACTTGACAAATATTGGCTGATTTTCATATCTAATTAATAATTAAAATATGAAGTAAATAATTAAAGAAAGTATCTTATTCACTCAAAATACATGGTGAGTTGAAAGTTCTCTCGAGAGTATGGTAGTAGAGGAAGCAGATTGGGAGACTCATAGAGAGTCCCTCAGAGTGTTCTCCCTCAAAACTGGGACAGAAGCTTAACAGCTAATTTCAGCAGTACCTTAATCGCCTATGGTACTACAAAAGTGCTGGCCTAGCTTTTGAATTTTGAATTGTACCTGTACCCATACAAATGTGCATTGACAAAGAGCTTCAGCCTCTTCCTTCCATTTGTTTTCCTTCAATGGCAGTTGCACACTTAAGTTCAGACCATATTTTTCTCTGTGTAAGACCACAAGCAACAAATACATAATTGAAATGTATTCACAGGTTGTATTAAATTGCTTTCGGGACCGTGAATTCTAGACACTGTCTTAAACAGCTGTGCAAGTTATAAAATAATACACAAAGTGGGTGCATAGAAAATGTGCATCCTGAAACACATATAAAGAATTTGGTACAACTTCTGCACCAATATTGTTTTGTATTGGCCCTGAAGAACAACTTTATGACTATATAACAATCTAAGGAAATTTGACTGTGGTCATCTTGTTCATCTATAAAAATTGGGTTTAGTATATTATTGACCGTTTGCCCTGTACCTAAATCAGAATAATAGCATAGTCAAGGAGTTTAATTACTCAGTTTATTAACAGTAGAACATCAACACTCATCAGCAGCAGGTACTGGAGGATAATTACTCAGGCAGATTGTATTATAGTAAAAGCTGCTGGAAGCACATAAACAGCTTCACAGTTCAGAGCCCTGCATCAGCATCTGTTGGACATATAGTTTCACACACTATTGAAAAAATGTTAGCAGTATGTGTATCTTTTGTGATTTCTATCCCCGACCTCTCAGTGCTAGAGACAGTATCTACTGTATTGACACACGGGTAGCATGAAATGTTTCGTATTGGCATTGCATTACTGAATCATGATTTACTTGATGTAAATCTTACATGGTCTGTAAATTCATCTGTGAAGTGTCTCATTTCATAGCATAATTAAATACCTCATAACAAGACTGGCCTTATTGTATTTGGTAGTGCAGGCAAGAATTTTTCTATTGCCTCTCCCAAAAAAAGGCAAAAATAGTGAGATTATAGTATATCTTTTCACAAATATTAGTACATAGCATATTTTTATCCCCTTTGGTCTGCTGAAGTTTTGGCATTTGAACCTAGTTTACAGATAAATTACTTTTATTTATTAAATTAAAGAAATATTCCATTAACTTAAAAAAACTATAAAACTAAGATACTTTTGTATTAACAATGGGTCAGTTGTGAAATGTGTGCCAAAGTACCAAATGTGGTAGCCCATTTATATTGCATAATGTGCAGTGTTTAAAATGTGCAGCACGAAGGTTTGGTGCACAACTGAATAGCTGCTGTTCTGTGATATTTTTTTAAGTGAAATATAAGAGTACAAACTACTGTGCATATGGGGAGAACAAATTTGCATAGTGCACAGCTGCATCATATTAAACGTTATATGTATTATATTATTTGATGTATTACTGTTATTACATGTTAATTTTTTCATGAAGCTTTACATATTGTTTGGATTATCACCAGGTATTTAGATTTTACAACATTGTTAACTGTTACTGTTATGTAACATGTATGTGAATATCTGTATATGATTTTGCAATTGTTAGGCTATACCTCTGTTTAGAGTTTTGTTTTTTATTAAATTCCAAATTCATATTATCTGGTAAAAGCTTTAAAATAACTGGTCCTAAAAGGCTCCCATAAGCTTCCGACACAATACCCAAAGAATTTAAACTTCTAATGTTGATTTCACAGGAATTGTATAATGTTGTTTGTGCTTTCACATTGGACAGACTTCTAATAGGTTTAAGGTTCAAGAGCTTGTTCATATGCGAAAAAATAACTAATTCTGATCCTTCAAATCTTTCTTTGATTGAACTTAGAGAAGTGTCATAATTCTCATCAGAAAATTAGAACTCGGATCTGCACTTAAAGCAGATCCCGCGAGCAAGGATTCAACATAAGTAAACTTCTTGAGCTGTGTTAACTCATTATTGTTATCAGTAGCATTTTCAAAAGAATTGGACATTTCCAAACATAAACTAGGATTGCCATAATACTTAGATATTGAAATTTTAGGTAACTGAATGTTAGTTTTACTTCGACCTTAACTATATTAGTATGGTCACCAGTAGATTGGTTTTCTGTGTTTACAATTTGAGAAATTAAATTAAATTGTTTTAGCCCTAAAATTGCATAAACTCATTTTTTCTTCATAACCTAATGCAATATTACATTCCTTCTCTATTTCAAATTCATCCCCTGTAAAAAAAAAAAATAATAAATAAATAAAAATAAATAAATAAATAAATAAATAATATTATATATATATATATACATATATATATACAGTGGTGGCCAAAATTGTGGACACTTCTGCAAATTTTTATGTTTTTGAAGTTCGTATGCTTATAGAAAATGTTACGTTTCGCAAAATGCAAACTTGTATATATCATTTTAAAGAGAAATTATTACTGAATTCA